GAGAGAGAGAGAGAGAGAGAGAGAGAGAGAGAGAGAGAGAGAGAGAGAGAGAGAGAGAGAGAGAGAGAGAGAAGGTTGGCAATCATGCGGCCTCGCCCAAATTTGTGTGAGGGTTGTGCGACTCCTCCTCCTCCTCGTCCTCCCTCTTGAAACTCCGGCGATGACCTGAAGTGGTTGAACCTTTTGAAACTGGTTTCAACTACCACTGAAATTACCAGAAGTGGTTGAAACTTTTGAAAACGCTTTTAGCTCCGCCCATCTATGATGGTTGGATGGGGCCAGTTGAAACCACTTTCAGAAGGTTCAACCACTTCATATTATTTTAGGAGTTTCAGGTGGGGAGACATGAAACCGCTGAAATAACTTGAAGTGGTTGAAGCTTCTGAAACCGCTTTCAGGTCCGTCATCCAAGCACCCAACACCCGTTTGCAACCGCTGCGATGACCTGAAGTGTCTGAAGCTTCTAAAACCGTTTTCAGGTCCCTTCATCCAAGCCTACAATACCCGCCTAGAACCGCGATGATGATCTGAAGTGTCTGAAGCTTTTAAAACCCGTTTCAGGTCCCTCGAAGCATCCAAGTTCGGTCAAAAACTGCCATACCGACCTGAAACCGTTGACAATATAAGGGGACTTGAAAATATATGCATACGTTAAGCATTTTTCCACAAGTTCCAATGAATGTTAAGTTCGTGGCCGTGGTAGAGTGGCTGATCCAAAGATTACGGGAGAGACATACCAGGCTGCCCACATAATTATGGGATGAAACCTACATCCACCTTTTCAACCTGTTAGACTCCAGCTGCAACCTGAAGGATGTGTTGCAAAACGGTCTCTCACAGGGGCTCTCCTGGGAGGACACCTTCCACAAACTATTCCCCACAGTCCAAATGCGCTTCTCTTGCCCAGAACCAGATGTCAGTGATCAAGGGGTAGAGGAAAAGTCTTAAGTGGCCTGCATACCCCCTCTACTACCCAAAAGCCAGAAAAACCCTGAAATATAGAGCAAGGAGTGAATGAAACTAGGACGGTGGTGTTCTAAGTAAACGTGTGCATCTGAGGTACCCGCTACAGAGTGGCCAGCAAACAAAAAAAAAAAACGCTCAGGTACTAGTACTCCCAGTCTGAAAGAAGGACAGGAGGTGGGAATTGGGGTTGTGCAAGACACCTGGAAAATAAAAATACGGTGAAGTCACCCTCCATGGGTGGAAGAGAGAGGCAGCCTGGCTTGGCTACCAGGTGGCGGATCTGCTACATGAACGAGTAGCCAAATAATTTATATCTGAGTAAGTTCTAACTTGGATCACAATCAATAATGACAGTTTCATAGCAGACGCACAGGGTGGCTAGTAAGGACTTTTACAAACTTTTTGAGGCCACCAAGGAGGCAGAT